GGCTTGTTGTGGTGAGTAGCAACATTTCATTGGTCAGTCTAAGACGTGCGCAGGGAAGTTAATTTCTTTGTAAAGCTGAGCATTTTTCTGTCCTTTATTAACTTCGGCAGAATCTTTTCACAGTGTGATGCGTAACTTTCGTCTATACGCTTAGTAGGCTGAAATAGTCTGATTCTATTTAGAGCATCAATGCTGGATTTCCTATCCCTTCACTTTCAGTCAATGAATATTTCACATCAGTCTTAATTAAATCAAACAAAATTTTTAGGTCTTGGTACTGAGCATCGAATTGCGGCATGCAGCAGATTGGTCCGGAAATGTCTTGAACTGCCTCATGCAGACGTGGAGTCGCTTCATTCCTGGTCTCGGCTATTTGGTGCACTGGCCGAGGCTCAGTGGATACAGTCCGGTGCTTTTGAAACAGTATCCTACTCATTCGTCCAGGCAGCATTAACAAAGTAGCTGTTTTGCTAAAAAAGCTTGATTGCATTGCCCCGTTTGTGTGCCGCTCATGTGATGTTAGTTTGTCTGGCCACACGAAAAATCATTTAGGTTTGGCTTCGGAGATGCACTGAAAGTCTGTGATCCGTTCCAGTTCCAGAATCTTCCAAATGGCGTTGTTTCTCTTTTTCACTACGCCACTCGGAACGAAAAGAAGGAACTTGTTGATAAAGGTGCACCAAGATTCTTATAACAGCAATCTTTGAAGCTTAGCTTTAACTCCTTGCATTTACCGCATTCTCTGCTTTTTTCTGCCGAAGCTATTGCTATTCGTATTAAAATCCCGGCTAATACAGATGTTAGATATGTTGTTAAGAATCTGCATCTCTCTGTTTTCAGCAGTTGCACTGGCACGAACTTACTGGCCCATTTGGAGAGTTTCTGTGACTTTGGCTGCTGTTTTGATTTCTGTTGAAAATTTGGATGAAGCAAGACGCACGCTCCAAGGAGTAACGTTTATTTGTGATTATTCTTCCACTTTTTTACTCTGTCTGATTTTTCTTGCATTCTGAGAAGCTACAGCACATCTCAAAAGCAGTGTGCTTATGCGCTTTACCGGCTCATAGGCGGATGCATGCTCTCGAACACGAGATTTAGTTTTAGTTCAGTTGTATTCGTCTAAATATTGCGTGAAAAATGCCTAGATTTTGGATTTTGATCCAATCTAAAGTCCGCCTGTGTTTGGACGTAAAGTGATGGGTCAGTGCCCAATGGGTTTTGGAGACTGAT